AGATGAGCAAAACTGTCATGGTGGTGCATGGTGGAGACGCCTTCTCGCAGAAGTGAGGGTCCAAGGCCATGAAGGGCTTTGTACGTGATAGCCAATACCTTACACTGAGCCCATTAACTGACGGGCAGCCAGTGGAGTGACTATAGAATGGCAGTAATATGTGTACTCAATCTAGCTCCCAATAATAGCCAAGCTGTAGCATTCTGCACCAACTGGAGTTTCTGAATTGATTTTGAGGAGAGACCAATATACAGTGCTTTACAGTAGTCTAGTCTCAATGTCACTGTGGCATGGATCCAGGTGGCCAGATCAACTGTATTTCAGGGGTCATTTCGTAGAAAAAGAGCTAGGGGAACTCATTAGCATAACTCATTAGCATATGCCACACCCCCTGACATCAGGGGCCCAGCGGTGGACCTGCAAGGCCAGCGGGAGTGCGAGGAAGCCCCGCCAAGGCCCTCCCTGGCCCCAGGCAGGCAGGGGTGGGGAGAGGCGGGGAGGAAGCAACTTACCCTCCCTCTTCTCCTGCCTCCTCCTGGCTGAATGAGGGCTGGAAGCAGGGCGGCCGGAAGCAGGGGGTGGGGCTTCGTCATGTGCCCCGCCCCTGCACCTCACCCGGGGGAACTGCGTTCCCCCGCGTTCCCCCCCGAAATGACCTCTGATTAAGGTAAGGACTAGGCTGAGTTGGGAGGAAGCTGTTTTTTTGCAGCTGCATTAACTTGTTTCTCCCGTTATAACACTGAGTCCACTATAACCCCAAGGTTCTTAGTGAAGTCAGCAAGGGTCAGCTAAACTCCCATCAAAACTGGAGAGAACAATGTTCGTCAAGATCTCTGTCTTCCCCACCAACATTATACCTGTCTTTTCAGGGTTTAGTTTCAGTTTGTCCTCTCTTAGCCGATTTACTACAGAAGCTAGAGTGCAATTTAGGACCCCTACTGTATCACCAGGAGACTTGGATAAGGATATATAGAGCTGGGTATCATCTGCCTATTGATGATAACAACCCCAAAGCTACAAATGATTTGCTGTAAAGGCTTTAAATAGAGACTGAAAAACGTGGGTGATAGAATTGCGCCTTGTGGAATGCCACAGGTTAGGTCTCACACTGATGAGAACTTCTTTCCAATAGCAACCCTTTCAGTTTGATCCATGAAGAATGATTTGAACCAGTTCAGTGTGCATCCCCTGATACCTACTTCTTCCTCTAAGCATCTCAACAAGATAGTATGATCTACTCTGTATCGAAGCCTGCAGATGTCCAATACGAGCAACAAAGAGGCATGGCCTTTGTCTATACTAAGATGAAGATCATCAGCTAAAACTAGCAGAGCTGTCTCTATCCCATAGCCCAGACTGAACAGATGAGCTATCCAAATGACCTGGAATTGGTCTGTTACTGCTCTCTCAATCACTTTGCCCAGAAAGGGCAGGTTAGAGACTGGGTAATAATTAGCCACATCATTTTTTCTGTAGGGATGCTTGTTTAAGTAGTGGACTGATAATGGACTCTTTGAGAGGCCAAGGGAAGGTGCCCCAAGTTTGTGATTGCTTTAGAATAGATATTAAGGGTTTGTTGATATAGTCCTTACACGATTTTAGGAGGGGCAAGGATCCAGTAGGATTCATGAGCCTCCATGGGTGAACCATTTAAACCAGGTCCTCTCTCATGCAGGGTGTTGGAGCTACATTCATAATGACTTTAAGTAGGTAGTGGTCAGACCATGTGTCAAATGGAAACTCTGTCCTCAAAACCAGGCCTTCCTTCAACTGCTTAATGCAAAAAATTAAGTCCAATGTGTGACCTCTTTCCTGTGCTGGGCCCCTCACAATTTGTTGGAGGCCCAAGGCAGTCAAAGAGACTAGAAAGTCCGGACTAGTCCTAGCAAGATATCCTCAACATGTATATTGAAGTCCCCCAGAATGATCAGTCCAGAAGTCTTCAATACCCCATCTGACAGTATCTCTGTCAATTCATAAAGGGTACCCACTGGGTGGCCATTAGACAAGAATGCCTAATCTGTCTTTCGTTCTTAGTTTGAGAAGCTTACAGTCAATGGTTATGGCTAGTGATAGTTTTCACCCGAAGTCTGCAGAAATTGAAGGAGACACAGAGGATAATAGCCACACCTCCTCCTCAGCCAGTTGTATGGGGCTGTTAGAGGACCATAACCAGTGGGAGTTAGAGGCTTGCCCCAGAAGTGCAAACTAGATTTTAAATTCTGAACTCAGGCTTACCTGTAATGGGAAGTGAAGGGGGTGGGGTAAACAACATCTCATGGTCAGATCAAAGAGGAAACCTCCCAGTTATGGCCTTCTGCCTGTTAGTCAGTCAGGACTGTTCTTCTCTCTGGTGGCAGCTAGTTTTTTTTAATTTTCAGTGCTGCATCTAGGTCTAGACCTGACCTGGATAGCCAGATCTCAGAAGCGAAGCAGGGTTGGCCTTGGCTAGTATTTGGGTGGCAGATCTCCAACCAAGGGATACCATGGTTGTGATGTGGAGGCAGGCAATGGCAAACCACCTCTGACTGCCTTTTGCCTGGAATACCCTATGGGGTCATAAGTCAGCTGTGACATGACAGCAAAAAAGAAAAGAAAAATCCAGCTTTACCTGTAAGAGGAAGACATTTCTTTGACATGTGTTTAACTGTACATATGTTCAGGTATGTCTAACGGTAGCCGAAAGCACAGCTTGTTCTCGTCATCCTGCTGAATGCTGATGTGAGAAATTTGCTTCTAAATATTCACTACAAAATCCAGCAGCATGATTTTCCCAATGTGTAAACCAAAATTTGTTTGAGGAGTAGAGAGAAGGAAATGCTGAGAGTGCATACTGCTTTACTTTTTGCGTTAGTTGCTGTGAATAGCAGCAGAGGGGATTCATGTAAGCAAAGTTCAGACTGCTTTGCGTTCTGTTTTCTGAAATGATCTTAGGTCATCTTATGTGGACCCCACTAGGGGAAAGTGGAACTGGCATCAAGCAGACTTGGTGAATACTAGTGAAAATATATGTTTGTTCTTCACAATGACAAATGGAGCAAGTCAAGAGATACTTGTTTACTGGGCCAGTCACTCCTGTTGAAGAACCAGTAGTAATCTTTACTATGGGCTACATGAAACTCTCATTTAGGTCTAGGTGTTCAAAGCAAAACTGAAGGATGTCATGTTGCCAGGCACCTGTTTACCAGCAGCTGTTGAGAGCAGAGAAGCAGGCATTTGGAGGACTGTCAAATATTTGCAGTGTAATCAGATCTTGTGTTAAGGAGAAAATTCATGTTAAGTGGGCACATTGTGCCCAGGCAATGGTGGTGGGGAATACATGTTGCATCTGTACAAGTAAGATTGTAGGCATATCTGCTGGGTGATACAAAACTCCTAGAAACAGGAGTTCTGGCTTGGCAGCACTCAAGCACTTTCTCATTGTTTGTGTTTTTTTTTTACTTTGGTTGGTCCAATTTAAGCTTTTAAGATCTTAAAACATTTTTTAGGATTTTAAGATATAACACATTGCTGTGTTTTGAGTTTTGTTTTTTTGCATAAGCAAAGCACATCAAGGTACTGTTTAACCATTTCTGCCTGTTGCTTAAGTAGAGTTGCCCTCTTCTCAGCAGCCCAACAGGTGGAAAGCCACACAGCTTCCTTACAACAGATGTGAATACTTTCACTCAGCCACAGGCTGAAGCTAAGAGTTTAAAGACCTGCTTTAAAAAAATGTGTGAGTGATGTGAAGCTCAGAGTGCTCTACCATCACTGTCTCTAAATTTGAGGGTTTTACTTTGGGATTGAGCTCTTTTTATTTCAAATTGCAACAGGGCTATGACTCACTAAGCATGCATTTCCTCTTGTTGTGAGTGTTTGTCTGCTCTTCAAAGCCCTCCTGAGTGTCTTTTCTAAAGATTTTTTAAAAAAGGTTTCCCATAATCCTGACTTGTGGTTCCTTGAGTGCACTGAGTAGAATTTTCTGCAGGTGCAGTTAAATTAGCATGGAGTTACATAGGAAACGAAATGTATATAAAAATTAACACATTTTTAAAGTTCTGTATTTTTCAAGAATCCACGTGTTGTGCCTCTGAAAAGCTTAATGCTAGATATTCACAGATGGAGATTTAGGACTGAGCATCTAGTTACCAGTGAACTCTTCTATGTTAGTTTTCTATTTACTGTTAGGTAGGGCTCCCTGAGGAATGATAGTAGCAAGAAACAGTTTGGTAACACCCCCACCCAGGAAAAAAAAACAACCCTTCCCTGTCCTGGAGTACTGGTTTCTCTTCTGTCCTCTCCCACACCCTTTCAGCTCTCAGTATGCCCTTATAGGAGTATATTCACGTGGCCCTCTTGTCACTTGTTGGCTTTTATTGTTTTCAACCCATCTGTCCTTCTCTCTCCCTCTCCATAGAGGCCTCTACCTTTTCTGCTGGTGACCGGCTGTTACTCCTTTATCATCCATCCATCTTTCCTCACTATCTTGCATGCTAATTTAGCAAACCACTCCTATATATACAACTATGATATGTAATTCCATTTCATCGTCTGACGAAGTGTGCATGCACACCAAAGCTCACACCTTGAATGAAACTGTGTTGGTCTTAACTCTAACTTTGTTATATCTGTCTGTCTGTCAAGAGTGGGGGCACCTACCAGCACATAAAAATAAAAAGCAATACAAAGATAGGATAATTATTTTGATTCCCTTCTTCTACTAGTGTAACCCCCAACGTTAAACCCCGTGCTGTACAGAACCCTACCCTACCCCGCCTTCCCCACCGGGTCGTGACGCAGCCACGTTCTTTCGGCGAGATGAAGGGCGGGCTAGACGCCGCCGCGAGAGCGCATGCGGATAGCCCCTAAAGGTTTCCGAAGAAACCAAGAAGCAAGAGTTCGTGGGCGTGTCCTCTCGGTGCCTATGGGCGTGGGTTCAGGCCCTCCCCTCCCGCTAGCTTTCTCCGCCCCCTTTTTCCCGGCGGCGGCAGCGGCAGCCGCTACTTATCCCCTGGTGTGGCGGCCGAAGGAGTCAGTGGCAGTAGCGGCCCGGTAGGGGCGGAAGATGGCGGCGGCAATAGCGACGGCGGGCGCGGTGCTGTGGGGCTGGCTGTGGAACGAGCGCTTCTGGTTGCCTGCCAACGTGACTTGGGCGGATTTGGAGCGAGAAAGTGCCGGCGACGGAGAGGTGTACCCCCGCGCCGCCCACGTTCTGAGCGCCTTTCCGATGGCGGTCGTCCTCTTGGCCTTGCGGAGGGTCTTCGAGAGGTACTGAGGGGCGCGACTCCGGCTGGGCGGCGGGTGGACGCCGCCCCGCCAGGTGACGGCTGAAGGGTGGGGGCATTTCCTTCCGCCTGACGCGGGGTGGGGTGCGTGTGCGGGAAGTCCTGATTCCCCTTCTGCGGGGGAGGCCGGAGCAGCTTCGTCGGAGAGAGTGTGGCAGGCAGCTCGCCGCGATTCTTTTTCGCTTGCGAATCTTCTGGGTCCAGTGGGGCTTATTCCTCCAGAAGTCTGGTGCTTGGCCTTACGCGCTCCCCCCGTTTCTCGAGGAAATCAGTCTCCTTTTTGGCCATTCCTGCTAGTTCTGTGCCATATTCCTTTTTGGCTATTCCTGCTCGTCCTGTGCAATGAGAATTTGGGTGGCCTTGACGGAGGTTGGTAGGTAAATCCTCATTCTTCCCTTACATTCTTACAATGCATTAAGTTGGCTGTCATCCCCTGCTCACTAGGCGTCTGGGAGGAAATCCCGCTGACCTCGGTAAGACTGGCTTCAAAGTAAACGTGGTGTGCTCTTTAAGGCTGCGGTCGCTTCCCGCGTTGAAACCAGTGGGGCTTGCTTTTGAGGAAGCATGCATCAGGCTGCCTTTTCGAGTGCCTTTTAGGTCCGTAGGCGATCCATAGCAGAAGGAAATGCAAGGAACCTGCCTAAGTTAGTTTTTTTTATAATGGCACTTGATCCGGATTAATTTCCGTGCAGGTCTTTTGCAGAAGAGTTCTCACATGTGAGAGAAATGGACTTTACTCTCACATGTGCAGGTGTGTCAATTGCATTTTCTAATGCTCCTGTGTTTAAGAAAAAATCTCCCTGCAAGTAGAAAACTAGTGCAGCATTGCCCACAGGGGGTTAAATTGGAGTATCATTGACTTCAAAATGACTTCATTGAAAAGTGATAGTGCAAAGATGTAAGTGCATGGAAGTGATGTAGTGGGCACTGTGAGAGAAAAGCTACTGTCTTTATGGTACCACTACTATGAGGTAAAGGTAAAAGTTCCCTTGCTCGAAAGCCAGTCAAGTCCAACTCTAGGGTTGTGGTGCTTATCTCCGTTTCAAAGCCGAAGAGCCAGCGCTGTCCGAAGTGCTGTTCCGTGGTCATGTGGCCGGCATGACTAAACACCAAGGTGCACGGAACGCTGTTACCTTCCCACCGAAGTGGTACCTATTTATCTACTTGCAATTTCTTGCTTTCAAACTGCTAGGTTGGCAGGAGCTGAAACTAGAGATGGGAGCTCACTCCATCATGTGGCAACTCGGGTCTCGAACTGCTGAACTACTGACCTTCCACAGCCTGCAGTTCAGTGTCTTAACCACTTGAGCCACCACAGCTCCATACTATAAATCGTCCTGCAAAAACTGCACCGTTCTCAGTAGTCTTTCAGTTGCTGAAGTCCCTGCTATCTGCAGGTAAAGGACTTCATGCCAGGAAAGACCTTTCGATGCTTATCAGTAATCCACACTGAAGTATGCGATGCAGACTGGTGGTCTGGCTCAGTAGGAGCAGCTTCATGTGTTTGTTTGTTTCTTCAAAACTGCTATGTTAATGTGTGTTTGTAGGGGTTTGATGAAAGTGGGCTCCATCTTTGTTCCCAAGAGCTAAGGGATGGAGATAAATCCTTTTAAACTACTCCTCTGAAACTCTTATTTACTATGCTGTAATTTACAGTATGGGCTGCAGTGGCTTAAGTGGTTAAGATGCTGAACTACAGACCTGAAGGTCGGTGGTTCGAGATCTGAGTGCTGCATGATGGAGTGAGTTCCCGTCTCTGCTCCTAGCTTCTGTCAACCTAGCAGTTTGAAAGCAAGAAATTGCAAGGTACCACTTCAGTGGGAAGGTAACAGCTTTCTGTGTGCCTCGGTGTTTAGTCGTGCTGGCCACATGACCATGGAAACTTCTTCAGACAGCGCTGGCTCTTTGGCTTGGAAACGAAGATGCGCACCGCATCTCTAGAGTCGGATTCGACTGGCTTTTACCTAATTTACAGTATGTAGCATTACCAGGTGTCCACAAATACTGGTCAGGCGTGGTAGCACCTTCTGTTTTTTTGCTAGTCAGTTGCAGAGTAATTCCGTTGCTGATTAGACATTACGTGAACTGGGTTAAGAAAAGGAAAATAATTCTTTAAACTTAAAAGAACAAAACTTGTTATCTGTAGCATGCACAGCTTCACTCTTATCTAAGTTAATGAACACACAAAATGACTTCTAATTTTGTAACTTCAACCAGTTTTTGTCAGTAAATTATTTTTATACAAGCTCAAATACTGTACAGTGTGTACATTTTCTGGTGATGGAAATTTCTTCCACAAAATGTGAAGAAATTTGAGTCAGTCCATAACTCCTGTATATGTGAGGGCTTGGTTATACCTTACCTCCCCCCCCTTATATATGGTATAGGATTTGTCTTATTATCATTGGTATGTATTTGCTGTTAAAAGGACAAGTGTGATTTAACACATTTGTGTATTGTTCACTGTTTCATGTAACTGCTTTTTCATATTAAGGTGTGAGGTATAGTTTAGTGGCTGAATACATGCTTTACACCAGGGGTGTCAAACATGCGGTCCAGGGGCCGGACCAGGCCCCCGGAAGGCTTCTGTCAGGCCAGCAGCGGAACTGGCTGTCTTCTGCTTCTTCCAGTTCTGCTTCTGCGTCATCATAGGTTTGCAGCTTACAGATACACACCTGAACAGCATACTCAAGATTTACATTACTGGGAAGGATACTTTGGCATCTCAGTAGTGACATTCCCCATATGCTCTGGGAAGAAAGAGGTAACTTTTTCCTGTTCAGAAGCCTCTTGGCTTTGATTTTCATGCATTAACTTTCATATTTGTCTACTGAAACGTCACAGTGACCTCTCATCTTACACTCATCCTTGTGAAGGAATGCAGCATAAATTCTGTGCTGTAACTTTGCCCTGGTAGTGATGACTAAGAACCTGAGTAGTGCATTTAATGAGTTATATAGATTTCTACAGCTGTTATTGTTTTCCCAGGCCATTTAGTTCTAACAGGCCCATCAAAGCTGCTTTTCACTTAGCTTCCAATTCCTGATTAGAGAGTAAATTTTTTCTCTTATATGTGTATCATAAAAACATAGGAAGAGCCCTGTTGGATCAGACCAGTGGTCCATCTAGTCCAGCATCCTGTCTTACACAGTGGTCATCCAGTTCCTTTGGACAGCCAACAACAGGGCACAGATGCCGAGGGCTTCCCCTGATGTTGCCACCTGGCTCTGGGATTCAAGGGCTTAGTGCCTTTAAATGTGGAGGTTCCCCATTATCACCATGGCTAATAGCCATGGATAGACTTATTCTCCATGAATCTATCTAATCCCCTTTTAAAGCTGTTTATTCCTGTGGCCATCACTACATGCTCTGGCAGCAAATTTCTGAGATACCTATTATATCTAAATTGTCATTGAACTTCAAGCACTCCAGCTCCCCCATCTTGGCTGCAAGACTTCTAGCATTGACATATAGACACTACAGTGTGTTTCCTTCTCCAGTAACCCTCAGCTCCCTTGGCACCCTAGTCGCCACACATGGCCCTCAGTTGCCATCCTGCCCTCACTCACAAGCAATGTTCCCTCTTAAGCTATGGAGTCCTGTGAGCAAATATTCTACTTTGTGAGCTATTGGCATTAAAGTTGTGAGCAAGTAATTTTGCTGATGAATAAATTAGTTTGTTCTGGAACTATCCTTCCTGAGCTAAGACAAAAATGTGTGACCTGGAGGCTAAAAAACTATGAGCTAGATCACACTAACTGCTTGCAAGTTCTATTACACTCCTATCAGTATTACCCTGAATGGTTATGTAATCATCCCTATGGACTGACTTGTCCTGGAGGCTCCCCAGCTACTGTCAGCTTTCCCTCTGGATTAGTATAAAGCTGCTCTGACAAGCTCAGAAATAGGAATGTGAATTTTATTTACAATTGCAACCATTTAAACTATTTAAATAACTATTAAGACTGTTAAAATGATCAATCTTGAAAAGCTCTACTGGACAAAATGGGAGCTTTCTATGCTATCACTGTTGCTTCATAAGCCTGCAAATGGGGTCTGTGTCTTACTCATCATGAGTCTTCCACCAATAATGCTGCCCTAGCCAGTTTCCAACCTTCTACATCTTCCATCTCAGATACAGGGTAATTGTTTCTGTGCTTATCATTTGTTGTGTGCTTGTAAGCTAGTTATGTACTTCTATTATCTAGAATGCCCCGGATATTGTTTTTCAGGTCCTTTTGACTTGCTCCTATATGATGGTAAGTGAATTACAGCCAGGTCATAAGCTTTTCCCAAAGTCATCCAGTAGCTGCAAGTGGAGGAGTGGGGAATCAAATCCAATTTTCCCAGATTAGAGTCCACGCACTTAACCACTACACCAAACTGGCTCTAGTAGTATGTTAATTTAGAGCAGCCTGATTAGCCCAGTTTGGTCTGAGCTCATCAGGTGTCAGGAGCAAAGCAGGGTTGACCATGATCAATACTTGGATGGGAGACCACCTAGGAAGACTGAGGTTGCTATGCTTTCTAAACCAAGATCATCTCACACCTAGGATACCCAAAGAAAGAGGTTTTCCATGAGTCCATTGAACTTGATGGCAAGTTCTTCCGTTCATTCAAAGGCTAGTGTTTTATGAATGACCTAAAGAAGAAGTTAGTTTGGAAATTTGATCAAGTTCATGAGCTGGGCTGATGTTTTCCAATTGGATTCTAGTGCTATTTGAGTGCTAAATTTATATTTATTAGACACCCCCCCCCCCAAAGTGAGTACTTTGATGGTATTATCGTATTTTAATCAGGTAATTGTGAGATGCTGACGTCCGCTTTCCCAGTATCACTTCTGTGAATAATTGACTGATATCAGAGTTGGCTGGCATACTTTTGTCTGTGGCAGTAGCAATAAAACAATAGATAGAACTACGTTTTCCTTTGTCTTTGCTCTTTGTCTTTGTTCCTGAGCTCTTAGCATTTTCAAAAGTATGT